TATGGAGAAGATGGATTGTTTATATTCAAAAGAAACATAGAGTGGTAGAATATAATTTAGGTTTTTAGATTTTTTTAAGTTTGTTTATTTCTATCCTTTCTTGTAGATTAAGATATTATGTGGAGTTAGAGATATTAGTATTTGTCTACTTTTATATGAATATTATCCTGGGATTAGGTTTGGGAAGTTCTGGGGGGGGTGGGGGGTTTTTGATTGTTTATTGTGATTACTTATGATTGTTTTTTTATGATGGAAAAATAAATAAAATTTTCAAAAAAAAAAAAAGAACTGCAGAACTTCTTGGATGAAAAGTGAAACATCTTCAAGGAAAAATAAAGTCCAGTTGCCTCATGAAAAAACACCTTTGGGACTCCGGAAAAGAAGATCTCCCTCAGATATATGTAGATTCCACCTCTGGCTTCTCCCATTATGCTGGGGTGATTCCTGCTCTTTGATGGAGTCAGTGAGGTGCTGGTCTAAGTGTTAGGATTGTATGTTTATTCTGAGGCTGGTCAGCAGTTAAGGGTTCAGAGGACTGCTATAGGGGGTAGGGGGCTTTTTAACTTCTAACAATGTCTATCTGAGTTGTGCTAATTCAACAGACAATTTTAAAAAAGTTTTGCTTCCCAAAATTGAGAGGGGGACTTTTAATTTTTCTTGCATTGTTATTTTATGATTATAAAATTATATTAAAGTTGCTTTTGGGTGTTGCTTTGCCAACAAAAGTGCAATGGAGCATTGTTAAAAGATCATTTTTTTCTTGAGTCAAAAAGATTGGAGTCTATTTTTGTATAAAAGGGGGGGAAGTGGGATTACCTTCAAACTATATCAACATTTAAATCAGTGTTATCCTTGAAGTGCATATTCATCTTACAGTTCTGCTTTTAAAACCAAAAAACATTTTATACATGAATAAGGAACATTAGCTATTTGTTTTCATTTTTCAGCTCTCTTTTTCTTTGGAGCTGACTCCTGGAGACACTCCCCACCACCGTTTTCTTTTCTCTTCAAGCAGGTAAACCGTTGTAAATTTTTTCAAGAGAATTCCTGATTTGGTTTCTTCCGTTTTTATTTGATGCTATTTTGGCACTTTGGGGGGGCACTTTTGATTCCAATATTTTGTTTGGGAAGCAGTATTTTGTTTGGAATGAATACAATTAAAGAACATAATATAAAAACTTAAAACAACTCTACCTTTACTTTCCCTTTATTAAAAAAATACATGATGGAACTAAACCCCTTACACCCATTTGCTCCATCTAAACCAATGAATCAATTGCTTTTGAATCAAGCTCGACTCTTGGTGAATTCACAGGATATCCATATCATTGTTTTGGCGACAACAATACCAGATGATTTGCAATGATTTGGGGGGTGGTTTTATTTTCAATTCATTTATTTATTTTAGCATTTCAGTGTAAACTTACTGTGAAATTGTCTGGTTGTCTCATATTTAGGAAATAAGCAGCCCACTCTGGCGTTTTTTTTTTCTTTATTTTGCACACGCTGTATAGCTTTTAAGATGGTCAAGGACGCCTACACATTACCATATATGGCTGGGTGCAAATTGGAAAAATACTTTTACTGCCTTTTGATGTAGAAAAGCTCAAGGAAAAGAACAAACAACCCACGCAAATGCTGCATCTTCGGGCATTAACTTTTATTAAAGCTTTATTAAAGCCTGTTAAAGCTAATCGGAGACAACCGGACTTTTTCAGGAAGGGTGATCCCCGTTCAAAACATTTAGTCCTTCTCGAGGCGACTAAATGCAAGGATTCCGAAGGACAACCAACCGCACCTTCCCGCCCGCCTTATCCCCTCCCGACGTTTCCAGGGAAACTCGTTGCCAGGCAACGACAGGTAGCTTTGGGCCGAGTGACGGTTTGCGCATCAGCGTTTGAATGTGAGGAGTTGCGCGTGGGCGGACGCGACACAAGATGAGAGCCAGATTTCACTCTCGTGAGTTAGACGCGGCGCCGCCTGGTGGGTGAAAAAGCTGGCGGGCGAGCGAGCGGGAGGGGGATTCCTTTCGCTCCAAACGCAAGGCGTCGTTTCATAATCCGGAGGCTGTTGCAGGGACGCGGGGAGACCAAGAAGAACCAGCCCACTCTGGTTGCCTGCGGGAAGGAGAGGAGCTCGTGCTGTCCAGGAAGACCCTAGCTTTGGGGAGCCGAAATCCAGGGGGTCCAAGTAAGCACATTCCTCCTCCGGCTGCAGTTGCTACAGATGTGCTACAGAGGTGATGGGCAAGGCAAGTTTCTGTCCATGATGGGAGACAGTGTCATGCTTGCCCTCTTTGGGATGATACAGGGATCTTTCCCATTTTATGCCACCATATCACTTATGTGTGAATAATCTACAGTTAGATTCAGAATCTAAAACTGGTAGAAATTTAAACATTCAAGTCATAAACAAAGACCTAAAATTATTAAGTTAGTATATTATTATTTGTGACTAGTTTCATTTAATATTCCTATATATGTGTGTAAAAGTATCCCAGTAGGGCTAACTTTTGCAATAATGTCAGCTTTTGAATATTCAGAAATATTGTGCGCTGAGAAAATTCTAAATTAACTCCAAGGTCAGTTTTGTTTATATATGAACTGATGAAACCTTTCAAACCAAGCAAGGCACCAATAGCTGCACCCAATGCAATAACAGCAATAACACATAATAGCAAAAATATGTTACAGAACAATATTTGATAAAACTATAATTAATATAGCATTCCTGGCTTTGGAACAATCATCTTTTTACCAACCTCCAAAGGGTCTGGAGACTGGGAACTTCACTGGCCTTGGGGTTGTTCTAGAAAAGGAAATTCCTCACTGAGAATGCCAACTTTTCATAATTTAATAAATGCTGACCCTGCTATTGATATTTTTTTGTGTTATTACTAGCATGTCATTATTGAAATGCATTTTTACTTTCCACTTTTGGTTTCAGAAAATGAGACAAAACACACCCAGGCATTAGATCTTATTTTATAAAATCTTTTGGGCAGGATGAATGATGCATGCTCCCCTCAGTGGTATGGTGGCCTAGTGATGAAGACATTTACCTCCCACTTGGAAGGTTGAGACTTCAATCCTAGGTAGTGGCAGATATTTCTCTCAGGATGCAAAGAGAAAATATCTGCTGCAAACTCCACATTGGCATCAGGAAGGGCATCTGGCCAATAAATGGAACTCAGCTCCGTTCAGTCATCCCGACTCTACCCCCAAATTAAGGGAACACAGGGTCAGAAAAAGTGATAGATGCTCCCCGCAACTGCTCTTCGTTGGCTGTTGAATGATGTCATGTCCTACTGTTGCTCTACTATTATATTTAGGAGGCCAAGCTAGCAGCTTTTCATGAACCCTGCATCCATCATCTAATACAGTGTGTTTTTCAAACTTGGCAACTTTAAGATTGGTGGACTTCAACTCCCAGAATTCTCCAGGCAGTTGAAAAATTCTGGGAGTAGAAATCCACACTTTTTAAAGTTGCCAAATGTGAAAAAACTGATCTAGTATATGCTGTATTCAGTTGTGAGAGACTAACCTTGTTTGGCCTTCTGCATCACACATTGGCGTGTCAATCATTGGTTAACTTAAGCCTTGGTTAATCAAGTGCTTTGTGTTCATGAAACAATAAACTAACCACACAGAGATTCAATGTAGAGATCTTGAATGTCATTTGGGTGCAAAAACAGCAGTCAGGATACAGGCTTCAAGGAAAGACTACAATCAAAGGAACTGTCAGTTGAAGCTAAGTAGCTGATCTGACTGGATATGTGTAGAAAGCTAGATTTAGATTGGCATGAAAGGTTGTTCTGCCCCTGAACTATATCTCTTATTGAAATACCTACAGAAAGTGTGTGACTTTTGGTGCCTCTACCTAATGTTTCAGGGAACAATCTAAAAACACGAGAACAAAGACTTAACTTGCAGGAGGACTTATATATATATATATTAAGCTCATTATCCTTCAAAGCAGCAAGTTGACAACTCTGGTCAAAGTGATATTGCAGTTTGTAATTGTGGAACATCCAACATATAGATATATGATATCAATGAAGAGACGGCAAGTTTAAGGCACATGCTTATGTCTGACATTTATACCTCCCATTAGCAGCCTGATATACTGTACCAGTGTAAAGTATTAATTCAAAGATATTTTGTTCAAAAGAATTGGATCTACATAGGAATGGATCTCAGATTTTGGAACTATTTTTAATATGCATTTAGCAAACAAAATATACGTACTAAACTTTCTGCACTGAACTGAGTTCTTCTGTTTAATGTTCCCTGCAGGCTTCTTGCTTAATATTTAAATTCTCTAAACATTACATATGCAGGATTTGTTGTTTTGATTTTTTAGAAATATTAACTTCAGGAAGAGATGGTCAGCTCCAACCACAATCAGCATTGGAAGTAAGCTTACCTCCTTGGAATAGTAAGGATAAAGACTATGTTTTCTGAACCTCCCTAATCTTGTAGCTCCAAATATGTTGGATTACATTTAATATAATTTGGCCATGTTTGCTGGGAATTATGGGGCATGAAACCAACATAGCTAGACCCCAAAACAGGAAATAACAAATTAATGACTAGGTAGCAAGAAATTCTATTTTATCTTTATTCCTTTGTGGTGTTGGTGGTGGTTTTTATTCTTATTATTTTGTTTGGTATGTTCTGCTCCTTTTTAATAATTTTTTGGAAGAAATGCAATTCATATGTAGCAAAAATAAATAAAAAATAGCCTGATTTGAAGACATTTTAAAATAATTCATAGGTTAGAACTTAATAAATTGGCACCTCCTATCCATGTCTATATTCTGACTTATTAATTAAAATGTATAATTCCCTTACTTCTTCCAAAAAAAGCTGCAGAACTTTACCAAACATAATTTAAATCTACAACAGATACCAATAATAAACATTTGAAACACCCGATCCAGCAGCAAAGAGATATAATTAAGCAGTAAAAAGCAAAGCTGGCAGAACATGGATCCAGAAAAGATTAATCTAGTTAGCACTTTGGGGCAGATAGTTCAACATAGTGAGCATGTTATCACCAACAGATGCAATAACGGCACAGCAGTTAAAAGCTAAGGCTGATTCATATAGGAAGACATGCTTAAACATTTCAAAGTTGACAAATAACACCTTGAATTACACTTATACTGACAGCCAGTCCAGCTGATTCAGTATACTGTAGGGATTGTCTTCAGCACTTTGCCCAAAGCAAAATTCTAGCACCTACATTTTACATTAAAATGAAAAAGTACTATTTATTAGTATAAATGTAATTATTAAAACATCACATGATTTCCAGTGAGCAAATCCATGTAAAAGCAGACAACGTTGTTTATAGCACAGGTCACACTTTGAAAAACAAGGTGTTTAGGGCTGAGGGAAGCATTGGGGACAAAACTGTCAGTTCTTTTTCATATTTTGTGGGATTTGAAAAGTTCAAGGCAGAATAGATGAATTAATTCTAGTAAGAATTTTATTTTAAATTTCATAGTGTTGAATATGTGTGATTTGTTTCCAGATCTGTAGCTGAGTGTGGGCAATCACATTTAAAACAGTCCATTCATGGAGCTGGCAGGTTTTTTAGCAGTATAGCTACTTTGCTTAGATATAATATCATGTTGCTTACTCTCCTTTTAATAATAATTTTATTAAAGATTGAAATTACAATATAAACCAATACAAACAAAAAAAGAATAAAAAAAAGGAATGTAAAGGCTTGCTATATGGATGCTCTGATAGAATGGTTTATTTGCCATCATCACAGTGGTATCTCCAAAATATAGTCCAACCTGTGTTCTGTTGAATTTAATCATGAGCTTTTATTTGTTGTCATATCATATATTTCTCCTGCTATTTTATGGCCAAGAAGTTCCCAGAGAACTATCCAGCTCTATGTGGTGACAGAGAGCATTGGAACAATTACATGAATAGCCCAGTTTATTTCCCACCTCAAAGACTGATCATGGCCTCAGCATCAAAAACTTTTAAACATATTTTTTAATACTAAGAGTAGAATATCTTAAGACATAAGTTAATCTATTCCATAAATAAGTCTCAAGTGGGTAATTAACTACAAAGCAAAGTAACTAAATTTACTGTGTGCTCTTAGCCTAGATCAGGAGTAGGCAATCTTGGCTCTTTTATGACTTGTGGACTTCAATACCCAGAATTCCTGAACCAGCCATGCTGACTCAGGAATTCTGGGAGTTGAAGTCCACAAGTATAAAAGAGCCAAGGTTGCCTACCCCTGGCCTAGATAAATTATTTGAATAACTATATATAGACTGGAAAATTTTGAGGAAGATGCTTTGCAAGAATATTGATATATGGCAATGTGACATAACACACACATACATATACATATTTTTCTCTTTTTTTGCTCATAGATACCCCCTCCCCTACCACACACACACACACACAAACACACACACACAAACACACACTAATTACTCTCTTTTTAGTGTTTTACATTTTTCTATCTGCAGTTCTGTCCATAACTATCTAGAATAAATCACATTGAGCTCAGTGGAAGGTACATAGGAGTCTTTAGAACAAAAATGAAATATGCTGTATCAATTCACTGTCTTCTTGAGAACTAGAACAAAACAGGATTACAGGTTTCTGTAAGGAAAGAGGATAGACACTCCCAGCTGAATATTACCTATTTTTACAACTTGTAGATCTTACAACAGCAACTGGAATCATTTCAAACTCTTCAACAGCAAACTTTAGAGAATGTAAGCATGGTAAGAATGCTTCATAAATACTCATGAAATAAGAAAAGAATATGTGATAATTTATTTTTAATAGAAGTGAATTAAAAGTAAACATGTAATCAATTTCATATATACACTTCAATACAGGGTGAGAAATCCCAATAATTCTTCTAAATTGTTATGTTCTTTTATTGTACTTGGAGTCCCATTTCCCCTGCTTTTTTCCATTGCAAATTCAATCTTTTTTTCTTAATTTAATTCCTTAGGAGGGAAGGGAATTACTGCCTTCCTCAGTTTGTGATAAATGTCTCCAAAATGGATTGCCATAACAGGTTATACTGAGAGGAAGTCAAATATGTGCTTAAAGCATTGATATTAATGAAAGGTGATACTGAAAAGATATGGAATAAAGATCACTTTCTTTCTTTTTCCTAATACAGTACCCTGATTTTTGTTTTCTTAGATCAAATACATTGGTAAATCAAGACTACTTTCTACCTACACCCATTCTACTGCATCATATCAGTCAGTCAGATTCCTATATATATAAAGCCCACAAGCAGTTCATGAGCATAATTGATCACAGCTTTCTCTAGATTATTTTGTGTTCTCAAGACTCTTCTAATATACATCTGGCATTGAACTGCCCATTTCTAAATAAGGAGTAACCCACAGTCCATTAGCCTGAAGCAGATGGCAAAAGGAAATGGAATTCAAAACAAGGGCCATGTAAAGCATTCAAAATAGGGGCCAGGCCAAGTCTGCTTGGGCAAAAAAGAAAAAAGAAAAAGAAAAAAATCTCTCTTTCTCAAAGCATTAAATTTACTGTATCACCTTGTCCTGGAAGAGCAGAGCAGTTGCTTCAAAGGCTTTTCCCCAGCAGGTGGTCCCAACTGCTCTATTTCCAAACTTTACACTCTTATCAAATGTGGTTAGTACAGAAACTAGAAAAAAAAGTGTGGTTTTATTTAGGAAAAGTTTTGTATGTTATGTTTATGAGCGTTTATTGTCAAACATATCAATTTGTACATAGAATATATTGTGTAGTTAGAAATATCATTACTGTTCATCCAACAGAGCACCAGGTAATTTCTTCGAGGCTGAGTCTCTCTGAATTCAGTAGGATTTACTTTTAAATTGGCAGAGTTAAACAAAAATGCATATCAGAATAGCTTACAATCATAATTCAAATAGTAAAAGGAATTCAGGAGAGTTTAATTGTTCATTTGCGTTTATTCAGGTTCAAACTGAAATTCATGAGATACTTAATAAAAATATAACTGATATGAAAAGTCCAGACAATTTACTTTTTCCCACCACATCTATCAACATTTCTACGGTATGCTTCTTCTTCTTTTTTTCTTACTAACATTTTGTGTATTAAAAGCTATGTACTGTTGTTCTGGAAAAACTAAGAATCAAACTTTTTCCAATCCCTTGGAATCATTCATCCATCACTTTTAATCCAAACATGCATTTGTATGTAGTATGTAGTTCTATATAAAACATTGTAGCATAATGCTTTAAATTGTCCTGAATAATCCAATTCTTTTTCATGTCTTCTGCTGTGGTTGTGGCAGCCTAATAATTACAAAGGTTAATACATTGCTCATTAATTTTGTAGTTAATTTGTCCTTTAAATCACTGTGTATTAGTACAATGGGCCCTAAGAATAATA